CCCGCGGGGCCCTGTGAGCCCCCAGCGCCACGGCACCATGGTACGCAGGGCCCTGCCTGTCCCCCCGCTTATCCGCCCACCTGCCAGCTCTGCCTTCCCGAACGCACGGCCCGCGGGCTCGCGTGAAGGGCTGGAGCGATCTTGCCCCTCCCCCGGTCTTCCCGACCCCATCTGCCGGGTCCCCGCGGGCCGGAATGCAGCGCTACGGCGCGGCTCTTGGCGGGGAGGGGGTTAAATTCCTGGGGTGGGGGCACCGGCGCGAGAGGCTGAGGTCTTGCTAGGCACGGGCGGAGGGGGCGCTTCCCTGCGCCCGGGACGGCGCCGCCCTCTGGCTGGGTGATGGGGGGAAGGGGACTCGGATTCCCGCCCGGGCCCTGGGCCACGTGGGCGCTGGAGCCGCCCAGCCTGGGGATTGAGGGTGGCTCGGGCCAAGAGCTGGGGGTGCCCCTAGCTCCGGTCCAAACTCCTGTGTGACCTTGGGCCAGTCCCCCGCCCTCTCTGGTCTGCTTGCTAGGGGAGGAGGAGAGGCAAGGGCAAAGAAGACTGGCATAGTCACCCCACATCCAAAAGCAGGATCCTAGAGGTCACCAGCTTGTGCCCCCTTGCTCAGCCTGGGCTCACCCACTGCTGCCCAGGGATGAAAAGGTCGACACCAGCTTAGGGAGGGCACAGATGGATGCCCCAGGTGTCATTCCGGGGCCTTCCTGGAAGTGAGGCCAGTACCCCTCAGGTGTAGCTCTGCAGCTTCAGCAGGTGTCTTCTGACTTGGGAAGGGCTTGAGGGCATGAGATCCCCTGGCCCCAGGGTGCCTGACCACTCTCCTGGTCCTGCATCTTTGCCAGGAGAGTGGCCTGGGCTGGGGCTGGGGTGTGTGTTTGCAGCTGGCACAGCCAGATGGGGAGGGGCATCCCCAGCTTCAGAGTACTGGCACATCTGGCTGGGGAGGCCGGCACAGCTGGTGGGCACTGCAGAGGAGGGGCCATACAGGGAGCAGCTGTGCCCTGCTGAGGGCTGCCACTCAGGGATTCCGGTAGCATCTCTGTGCCCAGGATGTGACTATCGTGACTGGGCGGACGGCCTTAGGATGGAGTCACTGCCCTCCTCTCCCTCCTGAGGCCAGAGGGCTGGGGCGCACAGAAGGGTGTTTCATAATGGCCGAACAGAAGGAATGGGCTACCCCTAGATGGCCTGGCTTTGAGGAGCCCTGACTCAGGCTGCTTTCCCTGGAGGCCCTAAGGAGACCCTGTCCCTGCCTAAGCTGTTCCCTGACCCTTCACTGATGTGTGGGGGCAGTGGCTCTGGGGAAGAGGTGGCAGGTGGAGGGTTGAGTGGTCCCTGGCTGGGAGATACCTCCTCCTGCTTACCAGTCATCTGACCACAGGAAATAGTGCCCCGTCCAGCAAGGCAGACATGGCTTGGCCAAGCTGGGAGGCCAGGGCTCTGGACTGTGGACCCTGCCATTCTGAGCCTTGGTTTCCCCATCTGTGCAGTAGAGGTTGATCCCAGAAGATGAATCAGAATGAGTCAGGAGGGAGATGGGAGGGGCTTGGTGCCACGTCCCAGTTAGATTGGCCAGGCCTGGACAGGCCAGCAGGTCTAGGGCAAAGGGGGGGCCGATGGTGGCTTCTTGGCTGGGGGAAAGGGTATGGTGGGAGAACTCAAGGAAGATGGTGTCCATGGCTTGGGGCCTGGCCAAACTAGGATCTGAGAGAGCACAGCGTAGGTGCTGCCCTGGACTGTGGCTGCAGGGGGCAGGGTCCAGGGTTTGGCTAGAAGCAGGGGGCCCTTGCTAGCTTGTTAAGTTTCATCCCGAGGCTGTACTCATTCAGGTGTGGAGTTGGGCTGGACATCACCATGCCTGCCCAGTCTGGGCCCACCTGCTGCTGCCCCAGACAAAGAAGGATGGCAGGAGGCAGGGTCCATCTCAGGTCCTCTAAGGAGGTGCTGGTTTTGTGGCTTTGGGGCAAAGTACCTCAAATGAGGGAGGCTCTGCCCAGCTGGGAAGGCCCGAGGCCAGTCAGAACCTAGAACCTGTGGGGTTGGTCTGTCCAGCAGGGAGTCAGCAGATACTAATGGAACATCTGCTGTGCTCTCCCATCTTCTGGGGAGTCTGCTAGTGTCGGGGCCACGGATGGTGGGTTGGCTCCTATTCAGGACAATTCATATGTTCTGGATATGGCTCCTGTGCCTCAGAGTCTGACCTATCAGACCTTGAGGGCCTCCCCAGGGCTCGCCAGGTGGGTAGCCTCCAAGGTAGGGCCATCCTGGAGCCTCTGGGCCTGGGCTATCCCTGACTGGGTGAGAGCAGGGAGCTGCTGGGCCGTGGGCAAAGGGGCGCAGCAGAGCAGTGAGTGAGCTCTGGAGCTCTCCAGCCTCCTTGGGAGGGCTACAGGACCAGGGTGAGGGAGAGAAAAGTCACAAAGTCTCCTCTTCTGCAGCCCTTGGGCCTGGGCCCACTACTGACGAGGGAAGGGGCCCTCGGTGCTGCCTGGTGGTCAGCAGAGGCCGGGCAGTGAGTGAGCAAGCTCGCCTGATTCCTGTTCTTGAGGTGCTTGGGTTGGGCCAGCTTTTCTCCCCATGTGTCAGTAGTTGAGGCGGAATCCACAAGGCTCAGGAAATGCTGAAGGGGTGGGTTGGAGGAAGAGGAAGGGCACAGTGAGCAGGATCCTTCTAGGTTTGCCTGGGACTCTCCTGGTTCTAGCACTCAAAGTCCTGCCTCCCAGGACACCCCATCTGCCCTGCAAACCTGAATGGGTGTCACCAAAGTCACCTTTCCTCCTGTTCCCTTCCTATGCGACTCTTCCCATTCACAGAGGAAGAGCCCCCCAGGCCCAGGAAAGTTCCTGGCTGGCCTAGGAGCTCATCTTCAGCCTGGGGGGGTCTGAGTTCTGCAGGCAGCTGGCCCAGGCTGGCACCCGCCCTCCACCTTCTTGCTCAGCTTGGACTCCTTCCTCGCAGGGTGGAGCCAGGAGATGGGCTGCCTCCCTGCCTGATAGCGGGCGCAGCTGTGGGTGGGCAGGGGCCGCTGCCCTTGACCTCTGCCGTGCCTCTGCCTCCGCAGTTGCTGGTTGAGAAGACGACCGACTCACCAGCGGTGGAGTTCTCGCTGGTGGAGGACGTGGCGCTGCACTTCGCCTGCTTGATGGGCCGTCTGAACGAGCAGCGGCTCTTCCAGCCTGACCTCTGTGACGTGGACCTGGTGCTGGTGCCCCAGCGCAGCGTCTTCCCGGCGCACAAGGGCGTGCTGGCCGCCTACAGCCAGTTCTTCCACTCGCTCTTCACCCAGAACAAGCAGCTGCAGCGCGTGGAGCTGTCCCTGGAGGCGCTGGCGCCGGGTGGCCTGCAGCAGATCCTCAACTTCATCTACACGTCCAAGCTGCTGGTCAACGCCGCCAACGTCCACGAGGTGCTCAGTGCCGCCTCCTTGCTGCAGATGGCCGACATTGCCGCGTCCTGCCAGGAGCTGCTGGACGCCCGCTCCCTCGGACCCCCGGGCCAAGGCACCGTGGCTCTCGCCCAGCCAACGGCCAGCTGCACCCCGGCTACGCCACCCTACTACTGTGACATCAAGCAGGAGGCTGACACCCCGGGCCTGCCCAAGATCTATGCCCGTGAGGGTCCCGACCCCTACTCCGTGCGGGTGGAGGACGGGGCTGGGACCGCTGCTGGCACGGTGCCGGCCACCATTGGGCCAGCCCAGCCTTTTTTCAAGGAGGAAAAAGAGGGAGGTACTGAAGAGGCCAGAGGGCCCCCGGCCAGCCTCTGCAAGCTGGAGGGTGGCGAGGAGCTGGAGGAGGAGCTCGGGGGCCCTGGCAGCTACAGTCGCCAGGAGCAGTCCCAGATCATCGTGGAGGTGAACCTTAACAACCAGACGCTGCACGTGTCCACAGGGCAAGAGGGGAAACCGGGCACTGGGGCAAACCCGGCCACCATGGTGCTGGGCCGGGAGGACGGGCTGCAGAGACACTCGGAGGAGGAGGAGGCGGCGGATGAGGAGGAAGAGGAGGAGGAGGAGGAGGAGGGTGGTGGCAGTGGAGGGGGAGAGGAGGAGGAAGAGGAGGAGGAGGAGGAGGAGGGTGGCAGCCAGGGAGAGGAGGAGGACGAGGAGGAAGAGGCGCACAGTGAGCCAGAGGAAGAAGAGGAGGAAGAGGAAGGGCACAGTGAGCAGGATCCAGAGAGCTCAGAGGAGGAGGAGGAAGACGAGGAGGAGGAAGGAGAGGCCGAAGGTGGGCAGGGGCCAGTGGGGACTGGGGGGCGCCAGGGCAGCCGAGCAGACCCCCCTGCCCACAGTCGAATGGCCACGAGGTCCCGGGAGAATGCCCGGCGCCGGGGTGCTGCTGAGCCTGAGGAGGCTGGGCGGAGGGGTGGGAAGCGGCCGAAGCCCACTGGAGTGGCCCCTGCACCCGCCCGTGGGTCACCAGCCACCGACGGGCTGGGGGCCAAGGTGAAGCTGGAGGAGAAGCAGCACCACCCGTGCCAGAAGTGCCCACGGGTCTTCAACAACCGCTGGTACCTGGAGAAACACATGAACGTCACCCACAGCCGCATGCAGATCTGCGACCAGTGTGGCAAGCGCTTCCTGCTGGAGAGCGAGCTGCTGCTGCACCGGCAGACGGACTGTGAGCGCAACATCCAGGTGGGCCTCAGGGCGGGCTCCCACACCCCACCTTGCTGGCGGCACTGCCCAGGTGGTCTGCGGAGACCAGCCCAGGAAGGAAGGCAGGGCCCAGGTTCTCGGGGATAGCACTGGGAGTTTTCTGGGAGTGGTGGGTAGAGCTGGGCTCTAACATGGAGAGGACAGGCATAGACAGTACCCTTGGCCAGAGGAGCAAAGGTGAACGTGGACATGGTAGGATGTGAGCAGAGAACTGAGCACATGAGGCCATGGGACAGCCAAGTCTGAGGAGCATCAAGTCAGTGTTTTAATAAATCCTGAGGGCTGCAGAAAGGCCATCCAGGCCATCTTGTATGGTTTCACAGGTTGTACACTGCACACAAGTACACATGAAAGAAGGAGTGGTTTGTCCATTAGAGCACTGTACAAATCAGGGGACAGACCAGCCAGGGATAACACCTGTACTCAGCTCCTCGGTTGAGGAAAAAGGGGTTGATAAGAAGTTTGGGAAGAGCAAGGCCTGCTGGGGCCAAGCTGGAGAGCTGGGCTGGTTGCCAGGTCTTGTCCAGTATGAGTCTGTGCCAGTCTAATTCCTCAGGGTGGGTGTGGCACAGGGACAGCCCAGTCCCCCCAGGTGGCTTTTACCTTTTCTGGCGCAGAAGGGGGAGAGGAAGCAGTAGGTACTAATTGTCTGTGCTAATTGCTAATTGCAGTGCCCCGAGGAGACAGCACTGTTTGGGAGTTATGCTGGGACCTGGCCCTACTCCTATGCACCTGTTCCTACTTGCCTACCCCCGGGCTGCCCTTTGGCTCTACCTGCCGCACACCTGAGCCCCCTCCCCACCTGGGGATCCTGACAGCCAGCATCCTGGCCTAGCCATGAGTGCTCTGGGTGCTTTGCAGGGATGGGTAGGGCAGGGTCCAGTGGAACGGCCCCTCTGTGGCCTGGTAGGACTTGGCGCCTCTGCCTCCGGCAGGCCTCCCTGGCTGGCCCCCTAAGGACCCATCCCCTGGTGGATGGATCTCCATGGTGTCAGAGCCAGGTCCCAGCCAGGGCCAGCAGTGATCATGCCTGAGCTCTGTTGGGACGCATCCTGAGGGGCTTCCCCATGAGCAGTGGAGCTGCCCACCTCAGGCAGCCCTTCAGCCAGTGGGGTCTCCCCTCTGCAGAGAAGCTCTGTCCCCTGAGCACAGAGGGGTTCCTCCTGGAAGAGGTGACTGAGGGAAGGAGGAGGGCCTGGTGAGACCCTGGGGGTGTGAGCCAGCAGGTGGTAGGGAGGGCAGGTGGCAGGGGGTCGCCTCCCAGTTCTGGTGGGCTGTAGGCCAGAGAGGGGACATCTTGTCCACCACCACAGGGTCCTGATAGGGACCCAGGGCCTAAAAAGCTCTCACCCTGCAGTGTGTGACGTGTGGCAAAGCTTTCAAAAAGCTCTGGTCCCTTCACGAGCACAACAAGATCGTGCATGGCTACGCGGAGAAGAAGTTCTCGTGCGAGATCTGTGAGAAGAAGTTCTACACCATGGCCCACGTGCGCAAGCACATGGTGGGTAAGTCCAGGCTGGTGAGGTGCAGGCTATGGAGAGAGGAGGCTCAGCTACTAGGTGTGCTGGGCAGGACTTTCCATCCAGGCGGATGGGAGGACTCCAGTTGGAGGATAATGTGAAGGGGTAAGGAGGCCCTTCTCAGCAGGAAGCTTGGGAGGCTGCTGTGACCTAGACGGGCTCTGGAGCCAGGGGTTTTATGTACAGTTGGCCAGGTTGCTTATTGCACAAGGATGGTTGGATAAAATGGCAGGTGAAAACTGGAATCCAGCTGGCATGCTGCTAACCAGGCTGTGTGTCCTGGCAGGGGATTATGTCCACCCAAGGAAGGGAACACCTTTTTCTAAATTATACAAAGTGCCACATGATCAGGCACAGGTCCCCTCTCGGTTTCACAGCAGCTGTGCCTCTGATTTTTTCTCAACTTCTGGCCCTCACAGGGCTTCAGTCTTCTCTGAATGCAACCTCCCCCCAGGGCTCACACCTGGACACAGTAAGGAGGCCCCTTGGGTGTGTGTTGGCCACCCCATTGCCTTGGGAAAGGCTGCCCACTCCCTCTAGGTGGGCCTGGCTGGGTGCCTAGTGACCATATGGCCCTCCCTGCCTTGACCAGTCTGGGCCCAGGGTTTGAGGAAGGGTGGTCAAGGTGGAGCGAAGGTCTGTGGCCAGGCCCTGCTTCATTTCTCCACTGGAGAGTCCTGGGGGCCTTCCATTGTGAACTAAGGGAGGTACCCCTCACCCCCAGGGTCTAGGCCAGGAGCATGCTGGGTAACCACGAGGCTTAGTGAGCTCTGAGCTCAGAGGGTGGGAATGGAGGCTCTTCTCTATCACCAGTTGCCTCCTCCCAGATCGTCTTTGAAGGGTGTTTTGGACCTCATCCATCCACAGGTTTGGTGGGTTACTATTGAGGTCCAGAGGCGGGGGCCTTGATGCATGCCACCTCTGGTAAAGCCTGCGGTCCTTGGAGCTCAGTGCCACTGTCAGTCCCCAGGAATGGGTGGTGGTGCGGGATGCCCCAGGAAGAGGGGTGTGGCCCAATGCGGGGGTGCTCAGGCAGGCCCCTGAGATGTGACGGCCACGGTGCCCACCTCCAGCCCACACCAAGGACATGCCCTTCACCTGTGAGACCTGTGGGAAGTCCTTCAAGCGCAGCATGTCCCTCAAGGTGCACTCCCTGCAGCACTCGGGGGAGAAGCCCTTCAGATGTGAGGTGAGCACATGTCTCCTGCCTGTCCTGCCCAGGAACCATCCAGGAGGGTGGGGATCCCAGCAGCTTAATACCAGAGGTGTGTGTGGGGGGGGACAGGAAATGGAATGCAGGAACCAGAGATGCCCCCCCCAAGGCAGGGCCCCTCCCCTGCTCCACCCACACCTTGCCTTTTCCCCACCCTGGCCCCGCCCCACATTGGGGGTTGGAAGTCTGTGGGCTTGGGGGATAGGTGGGCAGGGAGAGGTGGAGATGCAGAGCTGCAGGTGGGATGCTGGGCCCTCTGCTGTTTCTGACCCCCCATCTCAGCCCGACTCTTGCATGCCCTTGGCCTCCCCTAGTACTGCCTCAGCGCCTCACCTCCTTGCCCAGGAGCCCCTGCCCATGTCTATCTTTGGCCCTGGGGCCAGGGGTAGCTGGTCCCTCCCTGAAGGCTGCTCTTCTCTGCCCCGGGCCTCACTCACCCCTACCCTCAGAACTGCAATGAGCGCTTCCAGTACAAATACCAGCTGCGGTCACACATGAGCATCCACATCGGCCACAAGCAGTTCATGTGCCAGTGGTGTGGCAAGGACTTCAACATGAAGCAGTACTTTGATGAGCACATGAAGACGCACACAGGTGAGGCCGCCCCCAGGGGTGGGCTGGACCTGCCCCCTTCTCGAGATGCCCGAGATGGCCTTGGCCGGGCTCCTCTCAA